CTTCAACCTTATTCAAATTTAACATGGTGCCCACCCTATTTGAGAGTCCTTTTTTTTTTTTTTTTTAAATTTTATTATTATTATTAAACAACCACCACAAATTTACAAGCAAAACAAGGCCCAACAAACACCTATTAACAACCAAAACAAGGGTCTGAGACTAAATACAAATAGAAAAAGAGCCCATGAAAACAGTAAGGCCCATAGACCTGCACAACAGACAAGAAACCGAGAAGTTTCCACTGCCTTCTGCACCATCAGCTTTCCAGTCCATCCAAGCGAATTTCAGTCCATCCGAATAATACCTCACTAGACGCCACCTCCAACCTCGAAAACCTACATGAGCACAACCATAAGCAAGGGATAGTCGGCAACAGAGTGAAAGAATTATTGGCAATGGGCACACCTATATTAGGATGATCAAACTTGGAAAGTTGTTCAACAACAGGAGCACAATTATGCTACTAAATTTTTTATTTTTTATTTAATTTTCTATTATTCGTATTGGTGGAAGGCAACCCGAAGACCCAACCCGATACAATCAAGCTAACTACAATAGAAACAAAATGAAACTCGATTGAAAAGGGTCATGGATTACAAGACTCACAATGGAGGTTCGGGCAGAGAATGGCCAAAATATATAGGACCATCCGCCTGATGGACACATGACCATATACAGTTTGGTCATCAGCAAGATCAACGACTAATAAAGAATTTTGTTTCTCTTTACATAGCTGGCGTTGTTTGTTCTTTGCCCTTGATGGAGGAGAGATTCTTGTGTGAAAGAACTCGGATTAGGGTGAATGAGAGAGAATGGGACCACAGTAGGATAAGTGTGGGCCTCAAAATCAAGGGGTGGTCCGGTCAAAGTACCGCATAATTCCTCTTGACAAAGACTCTCAATTCCTTGTTAGTTTCTCTCTTCTAATCAATTTCCTCCTAGCTAGTCTTTTGCTTATTGCCACCTTTCTCTCCAAATCTCTAAACCTTAGATAGATCAACCTCAGTACCCCAACTTCTTTTCCTCACTACTACAATACAATTATAATTACAACTGGCAAGATAATATAAATGGAGACTTTGGATGAGGTCCTTAACTATTAATTTTCTTTGACTTAAATCTTGTTGGTTTTTATTTTTTTATCGAAGTCCCTTCTATGTAGGTTATTATATTTTTTAAATTCAAAATTGAAATTTGTAGTTGCTTATAGTAATGACATTTTAAATTAAATTGATAATTTGTGGGATTAAAAATATTTAAAGACAAATTATACTCTCCAATATAATATATATATGGGTATACTCATCAAAATTAACCAAAAAAAACATTGTACCACAACATGTACCAACACAAAAAAGAAAGATATTAGGCTTTAGTAAATTTCTTCGATTAAATTGACATGGATACATTCTCAAACCAACGAAAAAGAATGTACCCATATAAGTTTAAAAATTTGGATTAAATTGAATGGATTTTATTAAAAAAAAAAAAAAAAAAAAAAGAGGGTACATTTTATATCTATTTTTAAAAGGTACGTTTTACATATAATAAAATGGTATATTTAAAATGGTACATTTAAGATTAAAAAAATTTAAAAAAAATTATACAAATGGGTACATTTAAGGTTAAAAAAAAATGAAAATCTTTTTATAAAAAATTAATGGGCACAAACTTATTCTAATTTTTTTTTATTTTGAAAATGTTTTGAATTTAAAATTAATTATGAGTTTAATAAAGGTGCAAGTAGTAAAACCTTGACTAAATTCCTATTTTTCATTTAAAAAAATAATAATGTAACTCACATGTAAATTCATTAATACATTAATGTTAGGGATTTCGATCAAAATCTGAAAACTAATAAGATCTCAGTCAATTAAAATTGGTAATGAGTGATCAGATACTAATTTAAAGAAATAAGAGAACCGCTAGAAGGGGAGAATTACAGACAATAATGAAAACTAAGGAAAGTATTAGACCAAATATATCATCTCCTAAATGCACCCTCCAAACTCCAAAACCCTAAATCTTTATCCAAAACTTCATTGGGTTGCAATAATACACAATCCTACAGTTTCTGTTGGACCATTGTCTTAAGAAATTCCAACTGTTTTACGCAACAACCAAAGAATGTCGAAACTTACTGCATTGACTAATGCATAACTCTGTTGTTCTAAGACATAAATAAACCTTGCTTAAAATGAGCCTAGACATAAACAAATGAAGTGAGTGGAGAAACAAAACTTTGGGATTTACTTTGGTGCCTCTAGCATTACTCTATACCAAAAAGTGTCTTTCTCTTTACTCACATGACATTGTGTGATTGATTTGGGATATCGCCACCTTCACTCCCGAGTTGCATGTAAGTTCTTCTCCATAACAATATACAAAAGACAAAGATTAAAGTACAAACCTAAAAACAATTTTAACAAGTAAAGTCTTCCACTCTTGCAGAAGCACGAAGCTTCCAGATCATTAGAGGGAACAACTCACATTTCCAACATTATTATCAGCAAAGTTAAATCTATCAAATTAATCAAGCTACAAAAGTTACCTATTTGTGAGCTCAATAAACAAAGATATTTTTATTTATTTCCCCCTTTAACGTCTTATGATCTTAGTAAACGTATCCGTTTCGAGATTCAAAGCAGGATAATAGTTCTTCTTCCTCTTGAAGTCCTTGACACTGATATATACAGCAAGAGCGAGGAGCAATACGATGGCCGCGCCTCGAGTATACGCAAAAACTCCGCCGATCAGCACCAACCAGCTGTAGGTGATTGTCATGCAGAAGTCGTGCCTTTTCTCCAACTGGGTTTCCGGGAAAACTCTCAGATTCTTGGGAAAATTACGCTGGTTTATCTTTATCCCTCATAAATCAAGGGAATTTTTTTTTTTTAAGGCAAATAGTTATGTGTTTGATTCGCCCGTGGAATCTGATGCGGCAGCGAGCCTAATGCAACATGAAAATTGCTCACATGCATTTGGAATTCGAATAATAATGACAATGCACTTTTAATAACTTAGAGCATCTCTGATATTCATGTGCCTGAAAGAAAATTAGGGACTCCAACTACCACTTTTCAGGATTTATTTAGGGACTTTAAGGAATAGTGTACCCAAAAGAAATTAGCTCCAATGGGAGTGTCCTTAGACCTACTCCAATTCTTGTAGTAAAACTCAAATTTTAGGTTCTAAACCATCCCAACTTGCTCCAACCCTTGGACCAAATATGAGTTTTAACCCAAAACTTCATTTTTTGAGGCAAATTTAGCTTAGAATTTCCTTTGGGTTATTAGGTTGGCCTACCATGTATGTGTACTTTTTTTTAGTTTTATTTTTATAAATTAATTTTTATAGTCGACAATAGAGTGAGAGAAGCCAACTACTAGTCGCAATTATACGCGGTGCACAATTGCAGAAGCACATCAACTGTACACGGTTTATTGTTTAGAATTTTGAACGAAACCCAGCTCTTGATGCCAAGAAGAAATAGATTAATACTTCGTTATATTATTTATCCTCTAGGGTTCACAATATATAGGCGCACACACTATATTCTACAAGGAAAAAGTAATTAAAAAAATAAGGAAACTAAATCCTAAAGATTACATAACCTAATCCTACCTAAAATAGGATTCCAATAACATTTACAATTACTACTCAAATCAACACTATATGCTTCTTTGTATCCACACATTCTAGAATATGAACCCGTTGTTTTAGGTATGGTTTGGGGTTGAGGTGATTTTAAAAAAAGCTGGTATGAAAGAAAACCTAGAAGAGTTTTTGGTGTTTAGTAAACACCCCCAAAACAGCTTTATTTCAAAGTTTTAGATGAAACAAAGCTAAAAATGGGAAGCTGCAAAAGGCAGCTTCAGAAATCAGCTTCTTGTGAAAACACGGAGCTATAGTGATTTTATTAATGAAACTTCCAAATTCCCAAACCTACCCTCACTTTCTGGTTCGAGCACTCTTCATCAATAAAAAGGTTAAATTTCTTTGTTTTTTCAACCTTTATTTCAAGGTAATTGGAATATTGAATTGAATAATTGGAAGGTAGAATAGGAAGATTTGGATTTCTGGGTGATATGCGATTCTGGGTAATCTAGGTTTCAGAGTGATGCAGCAGGCGACGATGGACTTCTTCAATGACATGGAAGACCACGGCTCCACTAGGTTTCACCATGGCCATGGAAGTGCAAACCCAAAGTTGCAGCGACTAGACCGATTGCCCCAACAAAACCCAGAGCTTGAAGTTCCCCATAACAGTCCGTTGGCTGTCGAAACTAAAATTCAAACCCCAGAAAATTTCAACAACTCCTCCTCCACTGGCGAAGAGAAAACCTGTAAGTTTAAAGCCAATGCTGACCTCGAAGACGAAGACGAGAAGCAAGATTACGAAGAAGAAGAAGAAGAAGACGATGAAAAGTCTAATGGGATGGCAAGGGGAAGGGGATTTGAGAGATGACAAGGGCAAAGGGAATAAAAAATTTTGATTCCATAATAAAAGAAAAGATAAAGAATAATAGTTGTATAGTAAATAGATATTTTAAATGCTGAATTATATAGTGAATGTTGGATTATGATTTCTTATTAAAGGTTAGATTATATGTTTAAGATAAAGTTTATACATATTTTTGTTTTAAAAATAAAGTATATTTAGTAATTCACTTTTATTTGTTAAGAAAATTAAATTAATAGCACATATAGTTTTATACCCTTTTGGTCATTTCACACAATCACAGCCGTTTTACATACAAGTTTACCAAACACTACCGTATTTTTTTTTTTTTTTCCCAAAAGCACTTTTACAAAAAAGTTTACCAAACACTCTGCTATTTTATTTCACAGCTGCTTATTCTCACATCACAACAAAAACAGTTTTTTTTCAAAGCATAGCAATACCAAACCAACCCTTAAATACAGCATGGAAGAAGCATAGTTTTTGGAAAAAAAAAAACTACAATCGAGAGTTTGATACTCGGATAGTTGTCAAGAGCTCCGGATCGGCATAGTAGGCAGAAAGCAGGCGATTAATGGTTGTTTGGCATCTAATCTGATGTCACGGTAATAACGCTACTACTCTGAGATCTTTGATATATATGTTGTTAGCTACAAAACTACTAGAACTCCACAAATTGCTTATGAAATTACAAAAAAATTTGCCTAGATTTGAACTTGCATAATCTACGTTTTCACTACACTTTCTTGTTTCGCTTGTGTTGTAAGGTTGACAACAGCTAGAAGATCATGGCAAGAAGCAAGGAAAAAGGCTAACTATTACAGAAAATCTGTTTAATCAAAAACATTAATGAAAACACACATTGAAATTAATTCGCGCCAAAAAAAAAAAAAAAAAAAAAAAAATCCAGTGCACGATTTATGGCGGTGGCAGCCGGAGTACAACAATAGGGCTTCTCACCCTCTACACTCCATCCTTCCACACCAACCCTCCGACCGGGGGACTGCCTGCTGGAATTTTGAAGTGAATGAGATTTTATAAGACAGCTTCTGATTGGCTTTGGTGACATTCAGCGTCCGAGGCCTCAACTTTCATATAAGCACCTTTGAACGGTGAAACAATGGCGTGGTAGTTCAAAACCAGAGGGCCAACGTTAGTGACAGTTCTGTGGAGTGTCAAAAGCAGGAACCAGTTGGGAATCTGCAACAACCTCCTCTCCATTTGCAGGTTGTGTTTGCCAAGATCATACCTACTCCCCAGCATCTGTCACCACCCGTCCCTTCTGCGCTCTCGGACAAATCCCATCCCACGGTCACAAATCACAATCCTACAGCAGCAACAATGCAGCAATTTAAAGTTGCTTCCAAAACAAGGAAGTGGGAACAGCCGGTCAGGGGTTGGTGAACTACCAGTATACACGCTACCGGTATATTTTGCTTATTTGTTGACAGCATCCTTTTTCCTCTGTAGAGTGAAACCCCGCCACTGACTGAAAATCGAAATCTACTTTTATCGAGCAGACTTAAAGAAAAACACAAAAAGCGATATAAACAGACAGAACACACCTGAATTATTGATTGGAAACTCTTACCTGTGATTTGCCAAGAACACGAAGTTCCGCTTCATAGTTTTCATGATGATATTTAGGGCTGCGCCATGCTTCGGTTTTGCACCTCCTCCTACTCCTACTCCTCCATGGTCACAGATCACATTATTCCCAGCAAAAAAATCTAATGCGACACAACTGTGTTTGCCAAAATCATACCTACTCCTACTCCTCCATATTTCACCACCAGTCCCTTCTGCGCGTTAGGATTAATCACATGGTCACAGATCACATTATTCCCAGCAAAAAAATTGAGAGTTGTCAGTGTCTCATGTAAGGTCTCAAAAAAGTTTCTTCAAAGCTTTAATATTTCCAACGGGCAATACCATCAGATACCTCCAGCAGATTGAAGTCACACAAGTCAAGAATTTCAGGCCAGAGACAACAAATTTTCACAGCAAAAGTAGGTACCTTTTATTCTCGGAATCAAAAGCGTTCCTACTTTTCTTTGAAACTTATATGAGGGCAAAGTAGAGAACAGAAGATATTACAAGCTTGTATTAAACCAATCAAGGCAAAGCATTAAACGATTAAGTCTATAGGAAGATGTTCCCAACTCCAACAAATACAATTGTTTTCCCCTTCATCAAGCAACCTGCACAAAGTATAAATCCACATCGAGTTACTGCCTCACCAATTGAGGATGAAAACAATCATCAATTGCAAGCTGCAAATCAAAGTGAAATTTTCTTTTGGGTCAAGAAACCAAAAATAAAAATTGGTTGGCTAGGAATGAACACAGAGATGACAGAATATGACAGAGATAATGACACTCACTAGAAGGTTTTTCAACCAAACAACTTCTTTTCTTGACATTGTTAATGTGAGCTGAAGAGAAAACCAATCTGCAGGGTTGCACCACCACCATTCCGGGTCATCAACAATTCCCAGTGAAGGCATTTCACCACTGTCATTTTCAGATTAGTAATGTTTTGAATTCCTTTAAGGATATTGCACCCCTTGCTTACAAGAAGCATTCCTTCGCTTGACCATCCAGCCTCATTATAGCAGCAACCCTGGCTGCTCATCTAAGCATAGTTAGCAACTGCTGTCTGTCTCATGATTGGCATAAATGAAATGAAGTCCGACCCTTCCAATAGAAGGGTATCGTACTGCAGCCCCTGAAATTGCTCGCATAGACTCCATTTTCTTTTACTACAATTTTGAATGTAGCCTCAGTGTAACAATGTTTACTGGGCAGCTTTCCAGTTTCAATCAAGGTACATTTAGACCATGGAACATATCCCAGAAAGATGTGATCTGAGTCAAGGAATCTGACTCTGGATCCCCAATCAACCATATAGAAATTGTAATTGAAATCACTATGATCTCCTTTGAAGGTGCAAAAACATCGAACAGAGAGATCAGATGCACAATAATGAGCACCCCTGAACTTACTAACAGTGCATATAGCAAACCCCAATACCTTATTATGGTATGAATTCAGCGGTAGCTGCATAGTTACCGAAGACCCCATGCACTGATGGCTGAACCAATCTGGAATTTCACTTCCAGGGAGAGACATATTCAAGGAAAGAAGCTGGAGCTGATTACCCTGCAACAGTACAAAACAACGGTTGACTTAATTTGTGTTCAACTTGTGTACATATGTGAGAGAGAGAGAGAGAGAGAGAGAGAGAGAGACCTGATGATGAGAGAGAGTTTCCACAATATTCCTGAATGGATTTCTTCTGTAGGCAATTGGAAAATGTGAAGTAAAGATTCATATTATGAGGCTTTGGTGTTGAAACTGTTTCCAAAGCAGTGCAATCATGCGGGTTTGGGGTTGAAACTGTTTCCAAAGCAGTGCAATCATGCGCATCTACGTCCTTTATACTCGATGAAAGCTGTGGTATTGATTTCAGTCTCCTGCAAGCTTCTACTTTGAGATGTCTTAAACAATGAAGTCGATCTAGAGTTGCAGGTAAGCTCTCAAAATTGTTTCTGCAAAGTATTAGTGTGACCAATTGGGAGAGAACAGAAATAACATCCGGTAGTCTCAACAGTTTGCAGTCACTTAAATCAAGCTGTCTCAAATTTTTATAGTATTCACCAACACATATTGATGGTTTTATAAATAGAAATGGTGCCTTCATTTTCTTCCATCCAGGAAATAATAATATTGGAGGCAAAAGCCTACTTGACATAGAGAATGGTTGACGTAAACTACTTCCCTTTACATCAATGTCCCTCAAGGATCCTACATTTCCTAAGTCCTCAGGCAAGTGATAAAGCCTTGAGCACCCAGAGACTGTGAGACGGGTAAGGTATGCCAAATTACAGATACAGTCTGGAAGACAGACGATGCTTTTGCAGTTTTTCAAATTTAGTATCACAAGCCCCCGAAGCCGTTCAATTGATGGGAAAATCCGTGTGATAGATGTTCCATCCAAATGAAGCTCTCTTAATCCTTCCATATCTTCTTCAATTTCTGGGAACTCCTTAAGTCTTGGACAACCAGATAGAGTAAGATATCCAAGGGACTTGAGTTGACAAATGCTGCTTGGAAGACTCTTAAGTTCTCTGCAACGATTTAGGTTCAAAGTAACAAGCCCCGTAAGAATTCTGATCGATGAGGGAAGTTCTTCAATTGCAGTCCGATCTAGATAAAGTTCTGATAGCTCCTGCATACTTCCTGAAATCTCTGGAAACTTAACAAGATTTGAGCAGCCAGAAAGAACAAGGGTTTTAAGAGATTTCATGTGAATTCTGCTTGAAAGAATCTTAAGTTCTTTACATCCTTTTAGACTCAAAAAAACAAGTTTCTCAAGATCTGAAATTGATGGGTGGACTTCAGTTAAACTTGTACAACCTTCGAGATTTAGAATCTCAAGATTTTTTGCTTCAGTGATATCGGGGGTTTTGTTAAGGTATTGAGAATGTCTTAAATTGATGAATTCCAACATTTCCAGATGCTGTAACGACAACCAGGAAAACATCTAATAAATAATAAGGCATCTGACAACATAACCATTCATAAGAAACATATGAAAAATGAATATCGTACCTCGGTTCCTTCCCAAAGTTGTTCAATCTGGCTATAAGGCATTTCAAGATCAATAAGATTCTTGGGGTGGAAATTGGATGGCAAGGACTTTAGGGGGCACCCATGCCAGAGTAGACACCTCAACTCATGAGAGAGAAATTTTAAATCCCCACTCATGTGTTGTTTACAGTCATCATTTGGATGGGATAGATCCTCCCATGATGCGTATACCATGGATCGGCTACAATGGATCTTGAGAAGTCTTAGTTTTTTCATTCTAACAAAAGCTTCAGTTTCGAAGTATACCTCTCCTGAATTGGCCAAGTCGAGGGTTATGCTTTCAACTGCTTCTGTAGCCTAAACTGTGGAAATTCAGTGAGTGAAAATATCCAGACTTTGATTTTTGTCATACTTCAGGTTTCTACTCAATTACATGCTTAAAAGAAAGAGGTAATGAACATATCTTACCGTATTTTGAGTTAATGCACGATGAACATCTTCATAAATCCATAACCTACTTCGTCTTCCAGACTCTTTATTAGATTCTTGGTGGACTATTTCCCACCCCATTCCCTGCAGTAAATCATGCATCTCAAGTGTATCGTAATCTGCGATAGTGATGAGAGTTCTGTTAACTAGTACTTCTAATCCACTAGGGGATAAAAGCCACAGCTATCAAGAATTTTAGTTACATAGTCTTTCTCCATCCCTTTAAAGAAACATGCAATATCTAGAAATATGTCCTTCTCTGAATCGTCTAGCCCATCAAAGCTCTTTCTAAGAACATCCTGAATTCCCATGAGCTGAGTTTTCTTTGTTTTCTTCAACACATCTTCCCACTCCTGTACACTTCTGTTATCAAGCAAAGCTCCCAAGATTTTGAGTGCTAAAGGCACACCATGAGCATGTTGTAGGGCAAGCCTCGAGAGACGATCATAATCTGTTGTGGGTTGGTTTGTTCTGAAGGCATACTGCCTGAAGAGTTCAAGAGCTTCTGGCTCACTTAAGATCTTGGGCTTATATACAGCATCAACTCCACTTAGTAATTGCATATCTCTAGTGGTTATAATGATTCTACTTCCGCCACCAATGAATGCTGCTTTCCAAGTAAGTCTTCGATTTGGGATAATTTGTCAACATCATCAAGAACAATGAAAACCTTTTTCCTTCGTAGCCTTTCCATTATCATTTTGGAACCTCGATCCAACGTGCCTAAACTCCGCATCTTTTCCTTCAAGATTCTAGAAAGAAGCACTTCCTGCATATGTACTGCACCTTATTCGAGAAGCCTTCCTTGACATTTTCGAGAAAGCAGCAAGCTTCAAATTGACAAGCGATTTCATCATAAACAGCTCGAGCGATGGTGGTTTTGCCTATACCTCCCATACCCCATATTCCAACAGCGAAAACATCATTCACCCCAGGATGTAATAGTAAATTCATTTCATCTATGTGGTAATCCATTCCAACCAAGCCATTATCTTTGCTTGATGAGACGTGGATCAATTTGTTAAAGATATCATCTACAATATCTTCAATAAGCTTGGCATCATCCCTGAGAAGTTTTAGAATTAGCATTGCGAAAGCGTAAAAGCAAAAGCTAAGTTTTTTAACAAGCCCAAATTAGTAAACGAAAACTGAATAATTAGAAGGGCAATACTTGTTGCATGCACCACCATGTTCACTTAATTGCGGTAAACATATTTTAACTTGGAGAAATAGGTTTACATCCTTATTTTTTCTACTTCATTGATTAAAATCTTATTCCTTTCCAAATTTTGATCAAGATCCTTCCGTTTTAATTAACTCCATTAATTATTCAAAAACAAAATATTTACATGTCAAGATAATTAATTAAATTTTATTTTTAAATATATTCATTTAGTGTTACATCCCGGCCCGGGCCCCCACCACAACCCGAGTCCGCTCCACCACCGTAGCACGATATTGTCTACTTTGGGCCCTGACCACGCCCTCACGGTTTTGTTTATGGGAACTCACACGAGAACTTCCCAGTGGGTCACCCATCATGGGAGTGCTCTCGCGCGCTACTCGCTTAACTTCGAAGTTCCCATGGAACTCGAAGCCAGTGAGCTCCCAAAAAGCCTCGTGCTAGGTAGGGATGGGAATATACATTTAAGGATCACTCTCCTGTGCGATGTGGGATGTCATATTTAGTGTTAGAAACGTTACCTTTGATATATTATATTTATGGCTAAACTTTTTATCATATATTTCTATTTCTAGTTTGTACCCATTTTTAATTTGCAATCATTTTTTAAATTGTACCCATTTTCTTTTAAATTTTAATTGTACCCATAATTTATTTATGTACCCTTTTTTTTTTTTTTTCAAATGTACCACTTTGTTATATGTAAAATGTATCCCTATTTTTTTTTCTAAGTACCATTTTTTAATGTAAAATCTATTTATTTTTTAATCTAAAATGTACCATTATTTTTTTAATATAAAATGTACCCATTGTTTTCTATATAAAACGTATCCACGTTTTTATGTAAATCTACCAAATATATATATATATATATATAATGTAGCCAAATTTTATTATATAAATGGACTCATTTTATAAAAATAAAATAAAATCCCCTTTTTTTATAATCTAGAATGCATCCATAAGCAATTATTATTATTATTATTATTATTTTATCAAAACTCATAAGCAATTTTGAATAATTAAATTGGTAGTGTAAATGAAAGCAAAAAAAACAAAAAAATGGTTGAGTCTTTATTGGTATTAGTGCATATCTTTTATTATTATGTCATATGTAGCAAGAGAGGGACTTCAATAAAAAACTCTAAAATGCATAAGGTTTGAGTCTATAACAATTAGGGATCAGGAACTGCAACTAAACTATCACTTTTCACTTAACCGCACAAATTTCATAATCTGAATTTTTTATTTTCTTGATCATATATATATATATATATATATATATGCAAAAACTAATCTAACTGGTGAACATTTACAAGGGTGACTAATGATCTCCAGTTAATCTTTAAACAATGATTAAGAAAATAAACAGTTTTTAGTTATGATATTTGTACAAGGAAAATACATTAATAGCAAGTGCGTGTGAACAAATTAAACTTACTTATAATTTTGCGAATCCCAACCGGATAAATCGGTGGCTCTAGCAAGAGCGGACCTCCAGCTTTGCACCTTCTTCACGTCAACGTTAGAATGGCGTTCATGTTTAGCAAAAGCTTCTGCAAAACTTCCCTCGAGTTTACGAATATTGGATGGATTGGCTTGGTTGAAAACAGGCACCACTATCTGCTTGTGTATATCCATGCATTCCATTATCTGGACGAGTTCTTTCAAGCACCACGTCGAAGAAGGGTAGTTTTCGGAAAAAACAACAATCGATAGCCTCGAGTTGCTAATAGCTGTAAGGAGCTCCGAAAGGTCGTTGCCTTTCCGAAGCTCTTCGGCGTCAATGAAGGTGTTAATTGCTTTCTGATCCAGAGCTTTGTAGAGATGGCCAACGAAGATCTTACGAGTGTCTTCGCCTCTAAAATTGAGAAAGACGTCGTATTTCCAATGACGACCTTCAGATGAAGAAGAAGAAGAAGAAGACGAAGAAGCAGCCATTAACAAGCACGGGATCGATCGCAGAAAAAACTCTGTAAGAGATGATTGATGCAAGAACTGAAGTACTCGGATGGATGCTAAGGATTGTAAGTCAACGACCCCCTCCCTCCATTGTCTTCACTGCAAAAAAATTAAGAAGACTGATTGGATGGGAAGAAAGAACTGTCTTTATCAACAGACAGATTTGACTTTGTGGAATAGGCTAAAATGCATAATGACACTAGTTTGATTTGGAAATGTACAAGGCCCAAAGCCCACCAGTACTCACTATCACGTCTATCGGACGGTGATTCTCTCTAATTGCATCAAAGTTGAACATTTCTACACCTATTGTTCTTTTTTTATGAGAGCAACTCAACAGGTGTGGTGACATTTATGGAGCAAAAAATAATCAAAAAAATTATGAAAGCGACACGTGTACTTTAGGATTAAAAGGACATTCTCGAGGCATACCGGGATTCTCATACGCATGCAACGAATAATAATGGCTCAATCAAGGAAGAGTCAAAGTTGATCAAAACGGTATTTATTCAAAACCCTCTCATCACTCCTCATCAAATCCTCACCCACAAGGTAACTCCTAATTATTCTTTTCAAATTGGGATTAATTACCAAATTAATTGCAAGATATTATTTGACATAATATCTTGCAATTATATTCAAAATATCACCATAAGTGGCCGGTCCTATTTCTCCAAATAGGGCCGACCACACCCCTATATATAGCCTCATCTTCACATCAAAATGCAAGTTCATTTTCTCCCTAAAATTCTCTAAACACTTTCTCAAATTCTAACTTTGACATCGAAAATTCTTCAGTCAAAGCCCCCCATTCATCATAGGCACGTGAGGCTCTTGGCATTGATCTTAGGTGCTATTATTTTGCAAGAGTGTTTTTGTCAAACGAGAAGAATGCGGAAATTTACATCCACAACATACCTTCCAACGAAATCTTTCTAGAATTCATTTGCAAGAACTGTGTTAGTATCTGGCATGATAATTGGCTTTTGGTTTCAAACTACACTCGCCCTCGTCCTCTTGGAAGTGGTTCCAGGGCCTATTCCGACAGTATTGTCCTTCATCATTAACTCTTCAAATGCAAGATGGAGCTTGGAGTCGATATCGCATTTATTATCATATAAGGACCTAGCTCTTACTAAATTAAAAAGAAACTAATAAAAAGAACTTAAAATTTTTTAATTTTAATCAAAAGTATTTTAATAATTTTATTTAATGTTAGCATAGAAAGAACAAATGTTACATTCTACACATCACACGCCACATGCCACATGCCACACGCACAATAACCCACAGCTCTTACACATACTGACACGCACATCGTACACACTGACAGGCACACATGTTAAAATGTCTTCGTCAATAATAACAGTAAAAAAAGACAACACAAGTATTTTTCAACCGAAATGTTAATTCCTGTGTGGTATGACATGAAATGGTAACAAGAGATGTTGCTGTCAAATTTGACAGTAGCTTCAAATCTATTTTTAAGTTTTTTTTTTTTTTTTTTTTTAAATTAGGATTTGTTAGGCAGAAAGCCAGGAATCCTGTCGATTTTGATAACTATGGAAGAATCATGGAAATCAAAGAGTACATAAATCAGGAAAATGTAGAACTCGTGAAAATGGAGAACTTAGAAAATATGGAACAGAGAGAAAAAGTAGCTTGAAGAAGAAGTTGACTTTTTCACCATATTGAGAATTAATGAATTACAAACAGTTATACACATATTTATAGTAGCTGCCAAAACTTAATAACTAAGCTAACCTAATTGCTGAGGTGTACATACTAAGCTAACTTAATTGTAGAGGTGTACATTCTGTTATTACTTTCCCTCAATCTCAGCTGGGATATCCCAGTCTGAGATTGAAACAATGATGAACAAATAGAGGGTTGTGTAACCTTTTAGTTAGAACATCTGCAACCTGAGCTTTTGTGGAAATATATTGAACCTCCAAATCTCTTTTCTGCACTCTTTCATGAAGAAAATGAAAATCTATGTTTAAGTGTTTAATCCGAGTATGAAAGACTGGATTAGAACACAAAGCTAGAGTGGACAAATTATTACAATGCAAGACAGGTGGTGCAGAAAGAAATAAGTGAAGATCCTTAAGAACCAGTCTTATCCAAGCAACATCAGTTACAACATTAGCCAATGCTTTATACTTAGCCTCAGTTGAACTTCTAGATACACTTCCTTGCTTCTTTGATTGCTAGTAATTGGATTCGACCCCAAAAAGACAATATAGCTAGTGGTGGACCTTCGAGTGTTTATATCAGCTAGCCCAGCCAGCATCACTAAATGCACACAATTCCAATTCTTAGCAGTAGAGTATGTGATTCCACACTGTAGTGTACCTTTCAAATATCTCAATATTCGTTTTACCAAACAAAAATGAGACTCAGTGGGTGTGTTCATAAACTGACATGCATAGTTGACAGCATATGCAATGTCTGGCCTAGTTAAGGTTAGATATTGCAAAGCTCTAACCAAACTTCTGTACATTGTAGGATCTGCCAATGGTACTCCTTCATCATTCAACAACTGTATATGAGGTTTACTAGGAGTAGAACAAGATCTAGAAGACAACATCCCAGCCTTATTGAGAAGATCAGTCACATACTTTGACTGATTAATAAAAATATCTTCATTATCTCTGTAACTAACTTGCAGCCCAAGGAAATGAGTTTCCCCATATCTTTCATATCAAGCACAGAGGACAAATCATCAATCACATGCTGCACTAGCTTGGAACATGAACCAGTAATTATAAAGTCATCTACATATAGTAGAAGAATCACAACATCACTCCCATTAACTTTGACAAATAAACTTGGATCTGAATGAGAAGATTGAAATTGTAAAGCTTGAAGATAACTTGTGAATTTTGCATTCCAGGCTCTTGGAGCCTGTTTCAGACCATACAAAGACTTAAGAAGTTTGCAAACATGATTGGGATATCTGGGATCTTGAAAACCTTGAGGTTGTTTCATAAAAACCTCTTCTTGCAATTCTCCATGCAAAAATGCATTTTTAACATCTAATTGTCTCAATTCCCATTTGTAAGTTATTGCAAGTGATAAAACAAGTCTTACTGTGGTATGCCTAACAACTAGACTAAAAGTTTCTTCATAATCCAACCCTTGTTCTTGTGCAACCAGTCTAGCTTTATATCTAGACACCTTCCCTTCTTGATCTTTCTTTATCTTATAAACCCACTTACTGCCTATTATATTTTTGTCTTCCGAATATGGTACTAACTCCCAAGTCCCTTGTTTTTGAAGAGCATTAAACTCTTCAGTCATTGCATTTCTCTAACACTCAGACATTACTACTTGTTTATAATTAACAGGCTCAGAAGAATCATGTATATCTAGGTTAGCAGTAAAGCCACTGAACATTATATCATCATCATGTGATGTAGGACACAAGTCCCTGGAAGTTGTATTTCGATGGGTCTTGCACTCAAATTGCTGCAGGAGCTGGGATTGTCATCATTGATCCAAAGGGAATTCAACATTGTTACTCATTCCTTCTGGATTACCAAGATACTACCAATAACAAAGCAGAGTACGAAGCATTGATCATTGGCCTAGAAATCCTAATAGTGTTAAGGGCAACTGAGGTTGAAATATATGGTGATTTTGAGCTGGTGATTAATCAATTGAATGGAGACTACAAATGCAGACACATCACAATGGTAGGTTATTATTTGGCAGCTACTCAGTTGTTGAGTTATTGGGGAACTGAAGTGTCAATCAATCATGTCCCCAAAGAAGCAAATTTAATTACTAATTTGATGGCATAGATGGTTTTTGAAGCACTGATTCAAGAAAAGAGATTTGAGGTAAATGTAGAGGTACAACGAAGAAATCTCCCTTGTATCTTTGAGAGATAGTTTAGTTTAGATATAATGACCAAAGAACCTGAGGTAGAAGACTGGAGAACACTCATCATGCAGTACTTAAAAGACTCTTCTTCTCCCATAAGTAAGAAAATTAGGCAGCAAACAACTAAGTTTGTGATGTGGGACAAAACCTTACTAAGGAAGACTCTATATAGGCTTTTGGTGAAATGCTTGGGCATGGAAGAATCGATGAGGGTGATGGCTAAAGTGCATGAAGGCATTTATGGGGCACATCAAGCTAGAACCAAGATGAGGTGGTTGCTGATAAGGTATGGCTACTTTTGGCTTGACATGGAAAAAAATTGTAAAGCTTATGCCAAGGGTTGTAAAGAATGTCAAATACATGGACCTTTCCAACACATACCCTCAGTACCCTTGAATCCAGTAGTAAAGCCTTGGCACTTTAGATAATGGGCAATAGGACTTCATTGGACAAATTTACCCAGCTTCCAGCAATGGACACACCTTTATAATTGTGGCAACTGACTACTTTACCAAGTAGGTAGAAGCTTCAGTTGTGAAGACCATTAATTCATCTGCTGGGAATACGTTCATTGAGACTTAAATCTTACACAAATATGGGGTGCCCGAGACAATTGTTACAGACAGAGGGCTATCTTTTATCTCGGAAGAAGTGAAGGAATTTGCAAACAAGTTCAAGATAAAGATGATCCAGTCTAGCCCTTATTATCCCCAATCAAATGGTCAAGCAGAAGCTAACAATAAGATCTTAGTGAATATTATTAAGAAAACGGAGGTAGACAGCCTAGAAAGATGGCATGAGAAGTTGCGAGATACTCTTTGGGCTTACAGAACCTCAAAGATAGCAGGAACTGGGGCCACCCCTTATGCATTAACCTTCAGGCAAGATGTTGTAATCCCTATCAAAATCAATGTAGGTTCTGTAAGGCTTCTAAACCAGTTTGGTCTGCATAGTGAAGAATATATGCCATATGTCAAAGGATCGAAGATTTGGAAGTAGTCCGAATTGAAGCCTTAAACAAGATCCAAAAAGGAAGAGAGCTGTTGCCCGAGCTTACAACAAGAAAGTGAAATTGAAAACCTTCAAGGAAGGAGAGTTGGTATGGAAGGCAGTTCTACCTTTAGGAGCTCAAGTTAGAGGTTTTGGAAAATGAAGTCGCACTTAGGAAGGCCCTTTTATCATCAACAAAGTATTATATAGAGG